TGTCGGCGGCGGTGGCAGTGGCGGCGGCGGTGGTGGTGTCGGAAGCGGCGGCGGTGGCGGCAACAGTAACAGCGGCAGCGGCAACGGCAGCAGCGGCGGCGGCGGCGGTGGTGGTAGCGGCGGCGGCGGCAGCGGCAGCGGTGGCAGTGGCAGTGGTGGTGCTGGGGGTGCCACTTCTTATGTCACCGTGCCGATGCTCCGTTACATTCATTCCTATCCGCCGACCTCGACGCCAGCGGTGGCAGCGGTGGTCACCACCGCACCGTCGCTGGCTGCACCCGTGCCTGTGCCCGTGCCTGTGCCCGTACCTGCACCCGCTTCCGCACCACCTCTCAGTCAACCTACTGTCATCGCCAGTCAAACGCCGCCGCCGCCACACACCGGGACTGCCTACGCCGCGAGAGACGCGTATCGTGCCGGCACTACGAACGTAGGTATTTCCATGGCGCGAACCACGTGTACATAGGCGCGGACGCGCCTCCTCGCCACCTTTTCCCCGGGCTCTATCTACGCTCGGAGTCCCCGATATGACGCCGCGATGCGTCGAGCGGTCACGGTCATGCAAACACGCCCGAGAGCAACAAGGATTCTCTTTTCTCCCTTTTTTCCTCCCGATGGACGTTGCACTCGGTTTGCGACACAGCAGCCGGCCGTTGAAATATATTACGCTCGAAAAGATTAAGAGATTGCGTCTTTCAGTGCCTGTGTGTTATCTATCGAGATAACACACACGAATTGAAAGTTCAATATTAAGCTGAATCGCTAGCGGCGAACAAGAGCCACGTCACTTTCGATTCTTCTTTCTAGACTTTATTTTTGGATGTATTACAATTATATTTTTAGTCTTCCCTCTTGCGATTGGTTTTTGCGATAATTTAAGACCGCCGCTGACCCGAATAATCCTTCTCTGCGATATTCAGATAGAACACATTTTTATTTTCCTTATATTTTTTTATTACTTAAACGGGCAAGACAAGAATTTCCGGGCAATTTGTTCGATATATCGCAATTGCCGTGAAAATTTTATTTCATATTCAGTTAGTTGTTGGTATTGGAATCAATTTAGTACGGGAGTAACGAGATAGAAATCAATATTAGTTCGTAACATCAGACGCTAAACTAATTGGGACACGCATCGCGCAACGCAATCGCACGCATGGCCATATCGGTCGATCCCGTCCTTGACTTTCACCGATTATCGGCCCTCTTCCTTTTTTCCCTCTCTTTTAACAATACGATCCGCGCGTCTGACGGTCGGCAGTTTTAAGTACAGCGTGTTAGTGGAGAATTGCTCAACCAAAGTTATTCTTGCGATAAAATTGAGAACACGCGTATGCGTATCTATACATACAATCGAAATTAGATATGGCGATCGGGATAAAATTAGAAATCAAATGTAAAATGAAACATTCAGCGAGGTATTTCGCGTAAATAACAATTCGGTTACGGTATGTTCTTATTTCTGAAGAAGTCGAATCTACGAAAAAGGCATTGCTCTCAAAATTTTCGGCGATTCAAGAGTATTTCAGAACGCCTGTACTTTGTTATGTTACACTTAATTTTTGCGGTAATTCCAAGTCAAGTTAAATTCACTGCATAACGCAGTTCTAGCAAACATTATCGCATTTAGCTTGTAGCATGATGCGAGTGGGCGGGAGAAAGTTAAAGTCGCCTACTCAGGCCACACGTACACACGCGCCGTGCACATGTACGCGAGGGCACAATCGCATCTTATTTTCCTTGTTTCTTACGTGTATTTCGAGTCGGTTATTTTGCCGCTGCAACTTACAGAGCAGTTTCTTGAGAATCATTATGATGCCGGTCGAAACTACCAAGTTCATAGTACAAACTTGTCTACGCGAACCGACCGGAACGGACTATGACGAGCGAATGAACCAGCGTGGTAACGCAAAACTACCGGCAGAAGTAAAGGAGGGGAGGAAGTTGGAACAGATGATTGCGATAGACAGAGCGTAGGGGACAGAGGAGCGGTCGCGTGGTATATCGGTACCGTGTGTTTTCTTGAACCGGGTCATCGATTTTTCTGAAATAGTTTCCCCGGCGAGAAGGTTAGAGAGACGCGCGAGATAAATTGAACCTCTGGCAAAGAATGAGCGAAACGACGATGAAAGGGGGTAGAGACTGTATAGAGAGAGAGAGAGAGAGAGAGAGAGAGGGGGGGGGTGATGGGGAAGAAAGGGAGAACATAGAAGTAGACTTTTCACCGTGGTGCTTTCTTTTCAGGTGAACGAGAGACTCGCCATCAACGTGAGCAACAGCCCCCTGTCGCAAGTTGGTGGGGTTGGCGTCGGGGTAGTGCCCGCGGCGGAGTACAGCGGCATGGGAGCCGGCGGCAGAGGCGATCGGCAGAGGATATCCCTCTTGCCGCCTATCGGCCCCTCGGTGACGTCCATACCATCGCCCGCTGCCGCCGCCGCATCGGATTACCAGCAACATGCGGCGGCGGCGGTGAGGAACCCGCCACGAGTAGGCCCCATACCCGTCCAGCCTGATCAGTATTGCAGTCGCACCCCCGTCGACATGTCCAGTCTGGAAGCACCACCCTTTAAGAAGATCCGTTTGGGACAGCATCAGCAGATCCAGCAGTTGCAATCCCAGCCTCAGCCGCGCTGCCTGTCGCCCGCGGACCCATGCGGGGGCAAGCAGGAGCAACAGCAACAACATGTCGTGCAGTTGCAACAGCCACTTAGGATAGACACCAGGGTGGGTACGACGGGCAGATTGCTCGATAATCGAACGATTAGTCTGTACGACCGAGAGAGGCCTAGCTAACAGTTGCCAATGTATTTGGGCGGTATTTATTACCAGTGATAAAAATGAGGTGATTTTTATATTATCGGCAATACAAAATTACATTTTAGGTTCGGGACTATCTCATGTTTGCTTAATATCGTTCGTTTATAGTGTTGAAAATCAAAACAATGGAATAATAGTATTAATTTTCGCGAAATTGTATTAAATAAATAAATCAGATTGCAGTTAATCATATTTATAGCTATGAGTATGGGATGTAATTGAGATTAATTTACGTTCTCCGAGAATAATTGTATATAAATATAAATAAATTAATGTATGTAACTAAATATAGAGTGATTTATTATGCATATCAATACTTTAGATTAACTGCATATTGACTAAACAAATAAATGATAAACATAGATTGGTTATACGAAAAGCAATGAAACGAAACGTTGGGCGGCAATATGATATGACGAATTTTTGCTAGGAGCAGCCTGCCGTAGGTGCGTACACGCCACAAACGGAAGCCATTTCGCCTACGCTTCCAGAGCCGAATACGCAGGAGGATACACAATATAGAAGTACCAAGGATGATCTCTTGCAACAAATTGGTAAAGTTGACAGAGAGATTGCCAAGAGGGAGAATCAATTGAACATGTTGCGGAAGAGATTAAAAGAATTGGAGGAAACGGCGAATAAGCCTCTGGAAGTGAAGGACCCTGAGGAACAGTCACAGCAACCAAAGCATCAATCGATGGCGCAAAAGGTCTACGCTGAGAATAGGGTAAATTATGTAAATAATAATTGTGTATTTTTACGTGTCAAACGCTACTCGAATCAAACTTGGATTACCGCATGTGTCTTTTTCTTCACTTATATTTGTATCATCAAAATATTGGATTTTAATATTTGAATCACGTAGGAACATTAAGATAATTAATGCACTGTATTCTAATTCGGCATATTTTTTTTATTAACAGAGAAAGGCAGAAGAAGCTCATAGACTCTTAGAAAGACTGGGCCCCAAAGTAGAACTACCTTTGTACAATCAACCGTCAGATACAAGCGTATACCAAGAGAATCGTACACGGCATCACACGTGTATGCGAGCCAGACTCATGTCTAGGCTCCGGAGAGAGCACGCCGAGCGCGCGTCTCTCCATCGGCAGCAGTCGCAAACGTACGCCATTTTGGTTCAAGAGTGGCATCGTAAGGTAGAGCGATTGGAGTCAACGCAGAAGAGGAAATCGAAGGAGACGAAGAATCGCGAGTTCTTCGAGAAGGTATTTCCTGAATTGCGAAAGCAGAGGGAAGACAAAGAGCGTTTTAACAGAGTTGGTGCTCGCATTAAGAGTGAAGCTGATCTTGAAGAGATAATGGACGGTCTACAAGAACAAGAGGTATGAATCCGTTGGAAACAGGTACAGTATATTACACATACAGGGTAGGCAAATTTTAATCTTCGCACCCCGATTTCTCGAAAAGGAAGCCAAATCGCAAAGAACTTTGCAGACAAAAATTGTAGGGGTCAATGGGAGACTATCAAACGGTGACTTTGATCTTGACCTTGTGGTCAAATTCCAAGGTGGTCACCTTTAATTTTTTTATTGGAACCCCCTATTGTTTATTATACTACCTTATTCTACTAAGTAATATGACCAACTTTTATCTGAAACATTTTTTGATTTGCCTAATACTTTTTGAGATATTCAAGAGAAAATTGATAACTTTTTCAATATTTACCTTATGATAATTGGAGCACTATTGCAACAGCACATTCCTGAGACCAAATCAAATAAAAAAGCCTTGTACTACTTTTCCCTCCGACAAACAGTTATCGAGATATCATAAGCTAAATATTGAGAAAGTTATCAGCTTTCTCTTGAATATCTCCAAAAGTATTAGGCAAATAAAAAAATGTTTCAGACAAAAGTTGTTCATATTACTTAGTAGAATAAGGTAGTATAATAAATAATAGAGGGTTTCATTTAAAAAATTAAAGGTGATCTTCAAATGACCTTGAAATTTGACCATAAGGTAAAAATCAAAGTCCCTCTTTGACTCCTACAACTGTTGTCTACACAGTTTTTTTTGCGATTTTGCTCCCTTTTCGAGAAATCGGGGTGCGAAGATTAAAATATGGCCTATCCTGTATGTTATACGAGTGTGATATGCGTTTGTAACGAGACGAGCGACATGATGCATTCCAAAAGAGAGAGGACAAAAAATATGATGAAGATAAAAAGATGGTATAGGGAGAAGTAATAGAAAGGCACGTTACTAAATAATATTAATATTTGATAAACATTCTGCGACAATTTAAATATAATATAGAATAAAATGTATTTAGAAAATTGAATTAATACTAGTTTTGAGTTTTTCTTAATTTTCATATATAATTTTTGTTGTAATTTATTTTTATCTCAGTTATTATTGATTAATTACTAAGAGCGAAATAGTATACAAAGTTAAGTTAACAGTTAAAGTAAAACTTGCACATGTTAAAGGTAAATTTTTGTTGTATCAAATTTCTTGATATTTACACCGAAATGTAAAGAGTTTGTGATTATATTCTAGATTCAGTGAAAATTAGATACAGTATTTTTTTATGGGTCTCGTCTTTTTCTTCATTTTTCCAAGAGCAATTCTGTGAAAGCGCCACATCAAAGGATTAAAGAGAGTTTGTTGATTATAAGTAAAGGATGGTAACTGACAGTTTCTTCCTATCTTTAGACATTTGTTTTCTCTCTTGGTCTTCTCGTGTATGCTGACCAGGGAAAGGATGGCAAACTGGATAAATGGATGGAGATGATTGGAAGTTACCATCGGACTAATAGATGCGCGGGATAATAAAGTTTTAATTGATTCAGATTCATGATTCTCAGTAGGTTTTTTAAAATAAAATATCACTCTGCAATTCACGAGATATTGCATTCATCTAGTTTCTTTTACAAAATGTTTTGATTAATATCTCATGAGTAATTAGTGTTTCACTTAATAATTTTTTTTTAAAAAGCATTGTGTTCTTTATTTCTGTTTTTCTTACGTTCTCTTTTTTATTAATGTTTGCTAGACAAATTCTTATTATGATACTTCATGGAAGACATTTAATTTGTACTGATTCCTCAGGAAGAAACATTGCAAGATTTAAAAAATTCCATTATAACTCGTCAGGTTAGTAACGTGCACTTGCTCACTTCACCCTTATCTCATACCATACACTAGTTATGGACCGTATGCTATTGCATATTACTTACAAAAAATGCATGAGTCGGTATATTAAAATTACGCCAACTTAATGTAACAAACACGGAGAGAAAGACATTGGACACATAATTATTGCTAAAATCGTGATAGTTTGGTATATATTATTTGTATATAAGTCTTAGTAGTTATATACAAAGATAATAAAATCTACGTTTTATTTTAAGTAAAACATTTACATATATTACTACATGTTTTATCAATATACAACCAATTTATTTTAATAAAATGCTATTAAAAACCATCCAAGGCTCAATTAAAAAGGTAATGAGGTAGTATACTGATAAACCATATTAGGTAATTATGTTACAAAGATATAATTGGTATATTGAAAATGGTGTTATCTTTGACAGATGGAGGATAAGAAGATGCGTTCGTATGCAGTCATACCGCCTCTGTTGTTGGACACGAAGCAACGAAGGATCGCGTTTCAAAATCGGAATGGATTGCTCCAACCGGAGGAATTAGAAGCTCTTCACAGTGAACGTAAATTAATCAACGTGTGGAGTGCGGTAGAGCACGAATTGTTCAAGGAGAAATACCTTCAGCATCCTAAGAATTATGGAGTGATAGCTCAATCGTTAGAACATAAGTCCGTTCCAGATTGTGTACATCACTACTACCTCACTAAAAAAGCAGAAAATTATAAACAGCTTCTACGAAAATCGCGTCAACGGACGCGTAGCTCTCGGAATAATCCGAATAATAAAGTAAGTGTGATATTAATCATCCGTAAATACATAAATTCGCGTCAATAAGTTTGTGCAATTTTATCACCTATATTATATTAATACATTTAAAAAAGTTGTTAATGTAGTTATTTGTACTCGCGTGCGTATAATTGAAACATTTACCGTGTTTGTACTGTATACAATCACGTGGCACGTTCAACATAAAAATTAGAATTAAAAATACTCGATAATATCATGCGAGATAAATATTTCTGTAATTGTTTCAGGTAAATAATACAAGCTCGACTATCGGACCTATAGATATTTTAACAACAGGCGTAACGACAAGGTTACAGCGCGAGCAGCAACAGAAGACTCAGGAAAATCCTCAGAATAGTTCGGCAACGGCTGCGTCTACAACGAGCACCACTGTCACATCGAGCGTATCGTCAACAACTGTTGCGACTACGACTGTAACGACGGCGACGTCTTCTTTGAGCTCGATGTCGTCGGGCGTTAGCGTAACGACGGATTCCGTAACGGCATCAACGACAACGACAACGACATCTGTCCTGAATACCAGCACGACGTCGAGTATCTCGGCGACGTCGACGACGTCCAGCGCGAAAGATTCCAGGGATACGAGCAAGGAGAACAAAGAGAACAAAATCGACTCGAAAGACTCTCATTTCATAAAGGTAGAGATAAAAGAGGAGCCGCAATCGGACACGGCGTCGGGGAAGGACATTAAAGTAATGTACGTGTGGCTTTTCTTAGTATATTTTTTTTTACACTTTAAGTTTCGTTGTACGTAATTTAAGTACGTACTTAAAAGTTACGTATATAATTAATTAATTATGCGACTATTAGATTTCAAAATTGCCGTAATGGCACATAGAATATATTAGAGCACGATAGAACGTATTTGAATGTGTATGAATACGTCGGCTGAATATTGTCACGTGCGTATCGTATCTTTTATCTTTTATTCTTTTTTTATTTCCTCAAGCGTTCGCAGCGCGATATTAATCATTTTCGATACGCGGGTAAGAAATAAAAAAATTTGCGCGGCTCATTTTGTGTGAAACGCGCATACCAATTGGTCCCGATTCTGATCTATATAAAAGCGTGTACGCGGACTGATTGAATGAACCGTATCCATCGGCCGGAAGATATTCATTCTGCAAACATACCCCACTCCAACGAACCAATCTCAATATTGTCCACGGTGGGAGAGGCGACCCGCGAATACCCATTTAACGATTACAATACGTCGCTCGGCGGCGCACGGATATTACAAAAGCGCGCGCAAAAAGGAGCTTAATCTGCTTTTTTTTTCGGCGACGCTATACTAATAGAGATAAGTTTCACTTATCGACGGTGATCGCGCGATAGCCGGGCGGAGGAGCAAGTCGTTGAAGGGCGGAAAACGGTTTCGGGGGTGACAGGGATACGCCAGGAGTGAGGCAGATGCGACGGTGGTGGCAGCCTGAGAAGGGTGGGTGAGGAGGGGAGATCAATTATTAGCAGATTGTAATGCTAATCAATGGTTACCGGTTAGTGGATTATGTTTACGTAGGCTCTCATCACCGTAATTGACTCGATCGTTGGAAATGTGATTCTGCCCAATGCGAATGACGAGTGTCGAATTCCCTGCTGCTTCTTAAGCCACATATGCGCGCGATCAGCAAAATTTTATCGAGGAAAATATTTTTTTATCACGGCGAGACCTCGCGTTTCATTTTTGTGAAAAGTAGAAATACGATTGAAACGGGATGTTCAATGGATTGTCGTTTCACACGAGCGCGCGCAAAGTTTACATTTATATCCCGTGCGGCTTGTGTTTGTTTAAGCAAATTCAATTTATGTGCGTCGATATTGTTACAGAATGGAAGGGAAAAGCGCGCTGTCATCGTCCGCGTCTTCATTGAACAACGCGACGAACGTTTCGACCATTCAGTCCGATTTCAAGGAATCCAGTAAAAAGAAGCCGAGTTGCAGGGACACGAGCGGTGGTGCTAACGTGGCAGCTAGTGGTAGAATAAAAGACAAGAAGAAGGAGAATCACACTCCTATGGAGACCAGTGACGAGGAGGCGCCGTCGATCGACGTCATCGGTAAGTTTAGAGCTAATTGATATTTTTGTATCTTTGTTTGACGTTAATTGTTCCTCGAGCTGGAGTCTTAATCCAGGCTTGTCCGTTTCTACATGTCTTTTCCAAACACCTACATTAATACGCGATTACAATTTACTCACTATATCTCATACATAAATGCATTAAGAATTGGACTGACAACGTTGAAATATTGAAATTATTCGATCGACTTCGACCATTTATCGAAATTATCCCGTGTATCTTCAAAGGTTAATTTAATATATATCCGAAATAATATATCTTTAATTATCACGTTCATTCCATTATTGATATACTTCCGGAAAAGCATTTATCTCATTATGTCGCTTTCGTGATGGAAGCGGTAGGATATTTAATAATATATTTTCTCGTCTCGGTGGTTTATTTTTGTGAATTTAAAGAATAGTTTCCGATATATTGCATTAGCATTATTAGACTGTACGCTGAAATTCAGAGAATCGACGTATATACATTATTGAAACGTGTAACTTGCCTTTAGCAGACTTGAATTTTTTTTTACATAAGACTAATGAAATATAGCACTAACGTTTGACTTACGTTTAATTTGAAATTTAAACGTTGAGATACAGTTTGTATACGAGCAGTTTTTTTTTCTTTTTACATAGAGAAACTAGCGTTCCCATTTATTTGTCGCCTATAGCTTTTCTCACAATTAAACTGTTATATGTATTGAAGATTTGATTACGTCACTACGTAACTTCACATCGTAGACTTCTATTTTTTTTTTGTGCAACTTGGTACACGAAATGCGTACCAAAACGTTGATGTATATAACATTGAGATACGTAACGACAAAGAATACACATAAAGAGAGAAACGCGATTAAGTGCTATCTATTATAAACATAAATTAGTAGTTATATAAATCTCCGTCAGTACGTGAGCCTGTTTATCTTTAATGATTTATACATTTCTGAACGCAAGGACGCTTTAATTTTGAACATGATGTTCTACAGTAGTTCGATTTGATTTCCATTCTATCTCATTTGCAATTAAATATCCGACACACGGGCGAATATCGATAGGTACTTTGCGTTCCGTCCGTAAAGTGTCTCTTCTCTTGTTCTCGAGCGGGGAATCTCTTGTTCGCATTCCACGGGCGTTGGTTCGTTGGGAACGTTGGAAACTGACGAAGGAGGAATCTGAAAGCATTAGAATTGCACATTAGGACAAAGTATTGCTTCCTTTCGTCGCTCGAGGGCTAGAGAGTTGGCGGTGCTACCTCAATACATACCTAGCCAGAAAGGGAGGAAGAGAGTGTCTTTTCGTTTCACGGAGCATCCTGGGTGGACGACGCGTCCGCGTCACGACTGGACGCATTCGCTCCATCCGCGGCGCCTTGCCTCTCCTCGTCATTCGCGTGGCAGAGTTTCCGATGCTTGTGCACGAAGTAGTAACTGGGGAACTTGCAGCCGCAGATCTTGCAGGGATAGTACTGCACGTTTAGGTCCAGCAATCTGACCTCCCGTCTGCTTCCGCGCGCGGCATCCTGCCGCGGCCCGTGACTAACGCTATCCCTGCTATCCCTGCTGTCCCTGCCGCCCCCGCCGTCGTCGCCGCCGCCAGCAGTCGTCTCGTTGATCCTCGTCGGCAACAAGTGCCGCTTGGCGTGCTTCCTGTAGCAGTACTGCGACTTGAAGGTGTGCTTGCAGTAGTCGCAGGTGTAGCAGCCGCCGTTGTTGCTGTTGTTGCTGCCGTCGTTGCTCGAGTCGTTGTTGGGGCTGCGCGCCTGGCCACCTCCTCGCGTCGTCGCCGGTCCGCCGTTCTCGTCATTCTCGCTCGACGGATCCTCGCCCTCCGTCAGCTGGCAGTTCCTCGGCGGACGTGTCGGCGGCACGTGCGGTCCGTGCGACGTCGCCGACGAATAATTCTCGTTCAAGACACGGTGAAAGCGCACCGGTCCGTCGCAGCACGCGATGTCGTACACCACGGAAAAGACGGTGCTCGTGGTGGAGGCCTCCTTCGCGCCCGAGATTCGGGCCCGGCGACGTGACGAGCGCGCTCGGTCGTGCTCCGACATCGCGGACGTGTCCCCGTTATCGTTGCTGTCGCTGCCGCGATTGCGACTCGACGCTCTGTCGGCGGGCGTTGTGGCGCACGGTTTGCGCGGCTGATCGTTGGACAATCTAGCGGAACGATCCTCGGCCTCTTCTCCCCGTAGAGCCTCGCGGTCCGCCGATCTGTCGCTGTTGCGATGCACGGGCGAGTGCGTCCGCGACACGGAGGACGGGGCCGGCGAGACCGAGCGCGACGGCGAGGGTGCCCTCGTCGCGGGACTCGCCGTGCTGCTCGTCACGGCGAACGCGGTGAACGCGGCCGCGGCCGCGGCCACGAACGGCAGAGTGGACACGGTAGACACGATCTCCGGGGTTCTCGATCTGCTGGGGTTCAGTCTTGGCCGTTTGTGGCGCGCCGTGCTCGGCGAGGACTGCGGCGACTTGGACACTTCGCCGGCGCTGCGAAAATTCACACGATTTTCTATTAATATGAGGATCTTCGAGCAGTTCTAATTGTTGAAAACGAATTACTCTTACTATCATTACGGGTGCCTCATTAGCATTTCAGTCATATAGATGTTATTTCTCGACGCATTTGTGAATCTCACGCACCCAATGTGTGCTACTACTTTCTAAGTGATTTAAGCTTACAATTAATTTTCACCCGGCAAGGAATGCCTTCTAATTTTTCCCGGTTTCAAAAGAACGTCAACGTTGGTAGAAATTGAACTCTTGTTTCACAAGTAACTGAAACGTTTTCATTCTCTTTTCCGAACAAATAAGAATTTTCTTTTTACTGTAGTATGCTGCCTTAGCTGAATGAAAATCCCGATTGGATTAATCTCATTACTGCCAAGGGTGGTCTTCCATGAGATGTCTAGCGTGTGAAAGAGATATAACTTCCGATTTATCTTTAACACCGGGACAAGGCCGCGCGAAAGAATCTAATTCGCACATTGCGAACCTATAATGCGCGCACTGCTCCTGCTTCTCTCTCGCCGCGACGACGCTGATCCCGGGTGGCACGCTCGGTTGCATCAAGGGCTGCATCGACGGCGGCAGATGCGACATGGCGGTCGGTGCCGGCGCGGCCGGTGGATACGCGAGCGGGGTCGTCGGGGGCCAACAGAGCGGTGGGCCCACCACCAGTCTGCTCGGTATAGGCCGCAGGATGCTGCCGGCGGTCCCCGCCGGCGACCCGGTCGTCGTCGACGCGGACGTCGGCATCGGCGGCGTCGGCAAGGGCGGCGGTGCCCGCAGCCTCAGCAGGGCGGCCCTGCACTGCTCCAGCGCACCCGGCATGTGCAACAAATGCGTCGCCAGCAGCACGCTGTAAACGTTGTCGAGCGTCACCTCCAACCGGCCGGTGTACATATAGTTGAGCAGTGGCGCGAACGCCTCTCCACCTAGGTCAGATCGGGGATACGTTAAGTGCGAGTCGTGCATACCGTTCTTTTGCCTTCCATTTGTCTGCCGAAGTAACACGAAAGCCTAGCGACACACATACACACACACACGCGTAGTTTTCTAGTTGAAGGATTTAGCCCGTTAGGTATGCGCACGGTTTTCTACTTGAACATTAGTCGCGTTGGTAGATATTCTGTTTACAACTGGGTTTATGAGCGGTAAATTAAATGTGCTACAGATCGCTTTCGGAGGCGTGAATTTTATTGATGTAAGTGTGTCCGACGAGTCGAATTGGTTTATCGGAGAACATTCGCGATACGTGGGATACGCTTTTGTTTGCAAACACTACAAAAATGGACTTATGCCACTTGTGAACCAGGCGATTCAATTATTGGATTGGATTGGATTGAATTGGGTAACTATTGGAAAATCCCAATGAGAGATTGAAAGTAACAATGGCACACTGCGCGACCGCTGAAAGTTTGTTAATTATTCCCGTCTCGCTGTTGGCTTATTGTAATTATTCGAAAGTAGTTCTGAAAACGTCATATTTTGTTGCGTCACAACAAAGAGCCGGGAAAAGAGTAGAAAATATTTATACCAACAGATAATCCTTCGGGCATTTAAATTTTAAACACTTTGACAAAGAGATGTGATCAAACACTCTATAAATTTACTTCAAATACATTTCTTTTCGCATCTAGAGCTTACGAATAGATCGAGACAGGGTAATGTCATCTAAAGTTTTCTATTGTCGAGCTTTGTCCGGGAACAAGAACAATCGATACATTACTGGTGATTTTGAACTCGTGATCTATATTTACCGATGGACGAGACCGACACGGAGGTGACCGGTCGCTGCGATTGTCCGTTGGTCGCCGTGACGGCAACGGTCGCGCAGGCAGGGTCGAAGGGCGAGCTGATCGACGACGTCGCCGTCGTCGTCGTCGCGCTCGCAAGCAGGGCCTTCAGGTATCCACTATGAGCCGCGAGCACACCCTTGTGCGCGACAAACTGGTGCTCGCCCTCGTTACCGACTCGCACCACCGTGTCGGGTGGCGAGAACGTGTCCTGTAGACAGGGGTAGCTGGTCCCGGTGGCACCGCCACCGAACCACGCTCTGTACAAGCCATACATCGTTGAACCTTTCGTGGCTCCGATCCACTTGTCCACCGGCGTAGACCCTTCGGCGAGAATCCTTTCAACTCGGCCTCTTCACGGACGTTCAAGTCGACGCGTCTTAACGTCGCGCGTGGCGCGGGGAGGGATTGCAAACGAATAAGAGCTTCGCGCTCGGGACGCGGTGATAAGTGATCGAGATCGACGCCATCGTTATTCTCACGCAACATCCACAGGTCGGAGCTTCCTTACGTACCCCCTCGCGCGATCTCCGGTAACTTAGGTCCGTTCGTTTCTCAGATCGAATCTCTCGGCAGTCGCGTCGCGACGATCCGAGAGTCACCGGCTGATCTCTCGCGCGAGATCGGTGCGTATACAGGTCGACGAAGGTACCACGCTCTTGGATTCGATGCGGTACCGCTTTCGCGAACGCTCCCGACGCGGGCCGATCTCGCGGCTCTTCGTGATTTGAACGCCGGAACGCCGGCTGGCAGGCGCACCATCGTCGCACTGTTTATCAGCTGCGCGTAGACGCGCTTGGCTTTTTCGAGCCGAGCTTCTACCACCTACACCGCGCCGCGTAGGGTTGGCTCTACCCCCTTCGCAGCGGCCGAGAACCGCCCCCAACGAGCGCAGATTGGCGGCGTACGTCGCGATCGTGGCCGAGTTGCACCTGCGCCCGGAGGATCAGTCTTCTCTATCGCGATGCCACAGGATGCGCTCCTGATCGTGCCCTCGTTTCACGCACGATACACGAGAGATGCGAAGAATTCGTAGACACGTAGGAAGATCCTCGCGACTCGTTAGAAGGGATGACGATAATCTTTCGCGATTAAGCGCCGCCACGCAACTAATTCCCTAACGGGAGCAAAGAGTTAGATAACAATTGTGCAGATCAATTGCCGACCCTCTCGCCCTCCGTGCATGCTCGAGACTTTTTGCATCAAGTGTGAACAAGACCTGACGCTCTACGATCTGCAACGGCGCGCAAAGACACCGCGGCACGGTGTAAAACACTCGTTATCGCGAGCGATACGAACGCGTGTATTCAGGGTGCAATCATGCCATTGTGTCACGCTACATTGTAATTACGGGACTCGGGATAATAACGCGTTAATTCTACACGTTGGAAATCATACGGGAATCTTGGAACTATGGATGCTATTTCTCGTCAATGTTGCGCGAACGGGTATTAATTGATTGAATGTTAATGGATATTAATAAGAATATTAGGATATTAATAATTGGATAAATATTAATTGATTGCGTACGAAGATTGTATTGGAAGAAGAGCTCGCGATGATAGAAATACCACATTCGAAATATGACATTGTCCAGATAATCGTCGGTTAAATCTCGCAATTTTCAATCGACCAAGTGCTCGGCGATTCGTCGGCGTTTCTTGCGAATTAAAGACGAGCTTAGACATTCGAAATTCTCTTGAGGACGAAAAATAGTATTCCCAGAGTTATCATCTGCCGAGCGGCAATCGCGATCTAGAATATACATATGTGTATAGGAAAGTTGGCGCGTGCGGCGAGAAACAGCGTCGCGGTTGTGGCAATAAAGGCCAAGATCTGTTTGTCGGCTTCAAATGAGACGTTAAACGCGACGTGGTGCAGACCCGCGAGTGATAGGAAAAGACGAATAGAGAGAAGATGAGAAAGGAAACGTTTTTCGCGAGCCGGCTGGATAATGAGAGGAGAAGAGCGCTCTCGCCTTCTGGAAAGCGATCTTTCGCCGCGAGATGCGTCTTTTGCCGGTCTCTTCCTTTCTCTCTTTCTCTCACTCCGCCCCTCTCTCTGTTTCCCTCCCCGTTCCCTCTCTTTTTCTCTTTCGCTCCGAGACTCTCTTGCCCGCGCCTAGCCCTGGCCTCTGATGTTTTTCATCAAATTAACTCTCGCAGCATGAGAGAGTACGCGCTTCTCTTCACTCCGCGGCGCCGTGTTTGCATAATATCGTTTATAATTCAGCTCGCGCTGAATTCCACTTTATTCCGGAGTCACGATCGTTCGTTCCGGCCCTCTTCTTCGTTCTTTCCTCGTATACACTCCACCCGGGGAAGGCACCCTGCTCTACCTATCGCGCGCGCGCTGGGTGCTCGGTACCGCCGCGAGACCACCTTCGCTACTCGTTCTCTCCCTAACCCTCATCTTGTCAGTGGTTTCGGTTTTCATTTACAAGGAAACCGATAAGTATCTGTGTTATTTATTTTTTATTTCTTCGGGGGGGAAAATTGATTGACAGTGGAATCGCCGATGACTGATCGTACTTTTTTTCGCACGAGTAAGGCGGGAAAATGTCTTGGACTCGCCCATTTTTTAATTGCCGTTGCAAAAGGATATTATAGACAAAGGGTATGTGTTCGTATGCTTTGAATTTTTCGTCACAAAAAATCATTCGTTTGAGATTGAGCCGACACGCTGGTATACACAGACAGGCGGAGTGCCTGGACGTTTTGATATCTCGAGATATTGAAACGTCCAGGTGCCTGTCAAAAAACATTTCCTTTATCTTATCTCGCTCATTTACGATGACCGTCGATCGGCCAATTCGGCCGGCGATTTTTCGCGATGCGCTCGCGGTTCATAAACAAGTCCGATCGTCGTCGGCGAGAATCCAGGGGTTCAGAGCGGAGACTCGGCGATTACGCGCATTTCCCAGGAGGCCGTCATCCCAAACCAGAGCTAACAGAGGCAACACCCCTCCGCGCTTTCCGTCCGTCTGGCTGTCGTGTCGACCCCCTGCCGCAACATCGTCGCGATCAGCGAATATCGTCGAGATTGTCGTTACAATAGCAATCAAACAATGTCGAATACAATAGACCGAGTATCTCGAGCGAAGAAACAGCTCCCTGTGAACACGTTCACGTGAACGCTTTTCTCGTAAATCGTCTACGTCTTCGCGCAAAGCCCGTGTCACGCAGGAACCAGCGCTCAATTATTACAATGATATATCTTGATGCAATATTATTCTAAAGAATACCCTTACGATTAATACACAATATAAAATAGATTCGAAATATTATAGTTTGAGCTGTCGCCACATTTCTTACACGACACTCATGTCTATTACATAATTTTTCCCATTTTTCAGTTTTAACTGTTTATATTGTTGAGACAGAACGGTGAATAATTTTGATTGTTTTTTCCAGCTATTCGCTCTATTTTACTTTATAACATATTTGTTTCTCATACGAATCTCACTCACCGTTAAAAAAATAAAATGTGCCATCATTTGCGTTTGCAAACTCGAATATTAATATTTTAACACATAATATGTGTAAATAATATTACAACGAATTATATTGTTACGTGTAATAATATTTTCAATTGTTTTACACGTAATACTTTGTGTAACATAGCAAACTGTAACATTCCTATTTGGAACTTTGAGACGGTCAATTTTGATTTAATTAGTCTTATTTTGCGCGTATTAATGTAAAGAATAAACTGTAAAAATTTGAAGCAATACTCACGCAAATAATTTTACAAAACAACTACCTTAAGCGAGTTGCCTAGGAAAGCGGCACAAAAATAATGATAACGGCATAACAATGGCGCATATTTCATCCGTTTCGGGATTATTTCGAAAAGATGCGCTCTCGTTTAATTGGCTCGCCCGCCATTATCAACGATCACTTTAATCGGGAAAATGGGAGTTCGCGCGTATAGGGCCCCGGGACTCTCCGCACCGGAAATAATCGAGGGCGGCGGAAGAGTACACATCGGCGGGGAGGGGATCCTCCTCGCTCCCGGGATCGTCTCTCGAGGAGACGAAAGAACGCTCGCGGTTTAATGCTTCCAACGTCGGTCGAGACAAGCTGAGCAAACACTTTTCGCGATATTACCAGGCCCTGTGCGCGGACTTACCGCATGTTCTCCGCCGCGTTTCCGCAGGAGCTCCCTCGAACCCTCTCCCATTTCTTGTCCCTCTGGTTTCCTCATCTTCCCTCCCCCCCCCCCATCCTCCTGGCTCTTCTCCTCCGCGAGGAAATAAATCACCGTTTCGATTTGCTTATTTGCTGCTTTATCGCGCCGTTTTGCGCATTATCGGCTCTCCGTGATAATTTTCTGACAAACGACATAATTAACTGTGCTGCGTCGTAATATAAATTGATGTCGAGTTTTTCTTTTCGGCCGCGATAGCATTTTCTTAATGCTACTTTAATGCGCGTACTTAAGCAACAAAAAGGCGGTCTGTTGCGAAGAAGATCGAGAGGACGGAATTATTAATGATATTTATTGTATCATCATGCGAGACGGTATTTTCTTCGAGATCAATAATTTGATTGCAATGCGCTCTCTGCTTGAAAATTGAATACATTTTCCGGGAAATATGCATTAAAAATGCTTTAGTTGAAATGTCAAATTTATTTACTTTGCTAAATAAACTTATTTTTCAACTGAATAATTTGTTAATAGATTTTTCCAACGATATAACGTACGTTACATGTGGAAGTCTCCTGGTTTGGTAAGAAAGGTTGATGGAAATGTCGCAAACACAATCTCAACAGAAATTTGTTTGCGCGTAAATAAAGATACCGGTTTTTTTTATAAAAATGTATTATTTGCTCTGGAGAGTGTATTCAAATAAGATTTAAAATCGAATGATCACTAATCGCAATTTTTGCATGTCAATGTCTACAAAATTAACGCGTATATTTTGTCACAAAATTTCCTTATAATCGCGAGAGATTCAACGTCCTTTCTCCCTCTTCTTTTTCCTTCCGTTTTGAAATCCAACAGTGTCCCGTCCAGTGGTACACGCCGTCGCCAGAGACACGCGAGAAAGAGAGAGAGAGAGAGAGGGCGATAACTCGATAACACGCAAATAAATGGCGGAGGATTGCTCCTAGATCACATGCGTCATAATCGCAGAGTAGTCATAGCAAATTGCTGGGAAAATTAAATGCCCGGGGATTCGTTCGTCATGCCGGTCAGCGGGTGGTGGTGGCGATGAGAACGTGGGACGAAACGGGGGTGAAAACCCGCGCGCGCGCACCTGGCACGAGCTAATTAGCGTCTTGATTTACTTAATCCCAATTAATGCCTCCGCTATGCCGTCTCCCTCTCTCTCTCTCTCGCTCGCTCTTGCCTCGTGTTCTTGTGTGCACTAGGCGGTGAGCGGGAGCGCTATCGCTCGAATTCGGCACGGGCGGCGCGTTTCCGCTTCGCAAATACCGTCGGATTATCCACGTGTGGATACACACGGCACGGCTAATGTGCCGAGGCCGTCGGAAACTCCTCCGTGCGCTCACCTGTACGAATTAACGCTACTTAGCGCAATCGACTCGGCCCGTTCCGCGGTTATCTGCCCGTTCCGCGTAATTGCGCGATAGGGCAAGGGGGCGTGTTTTGCGCATTTCGAGACAACGGCGATAGACGAGATAGAGAGGTCCGCGCGGACCACGAAATATCATTTGCGTTCTTACACGAGAGAAATTCGATGTTGGGAATATCGAGAGGATATATCGCGGACGTCTGTAGCCGTAACTTGCCTGCCGCATCGCCGAAGGCTTCGGAAACGGCCAGGCAAAATTTCAGTTTTCACTACCAAGACTCGCACATTATTTACGGGCCTCGGAGTACGAAATTGCCAGCGAGACATTCTCGCGGGATGAATTCGCAGCATCGCATCGGCACGCGGTGGTAGGTCGATATCGCGTCGTCCATCGGCCGCGTATACTTTGCATTGTTCCCGAGGACATCATGGTAGGCTAATCACCGTAATTCAATCAGCCGACGAGATGTTTTAAAGGGTCGCGCGCGCGCGCCCGCGGGAGGGTGGACCGGACGGTTTCGTCATCAGCGACAGCGGGCCCCTCGCACCCGCTCGCCCACGTAGCGATTGACAGATGTTATTTGCACAAGTAGACCGTGATCCAGCTCAAGCGCCACCGAAACGCTACAAGCGATTCCATATTTACACGGCCCGTTCCCCGCTAACGATAATCGCGCAGGTGGCTCGTCAAAGGAGAGAGGGCTGGACCGTTACATCGCGCGGAGAGACGCAAAGACGCGTATTTACATGTTATTTAACGCCGCAAAAATTATAAATTGTACAAACTCGTTGAGGCTGCTTTCCTTTTAGAGAACAACAGTCCGACAGTTTTGACACAGATCGTCACACGTCGCTTTCCATTTAGAATTTCATACAAACTCGGGAATCTTTTCTTAAAATTTTGTCCTTTAAATCTTGGCCATTTCACGGTGACAAACTCGAGTGTGCTAACTTGTGTCGATTAGTGACTCCTGAAAGGAAAGCAGCCTAGGGTCGCTATTCGTAATCAGATCTTGTACTCAAGACCGTCTTGAGGCCGAATCAGACTAGCAATTGCCGACTCGGGTTGGATTGGCGATTGTCTTCTGGCCACTGAGAGTCGGTTAAATCGCCGGCTGCCTTGCTCTCATTGGCTCGAGGACAATCGCCAATCCCAGTCCAATCCGAGGCGGCAATTGCTAGTCTGATTCCGGTCTTCAGGATCATCTTTAGATACTCCACAGCCAGTGAATTGTTCCGTACAGCATCTCTAGATAAATTCAAGGCGGTTTTGAATGTAAGATCTGACTTTGACTACCGGCCCAAGTCTCGATACACATTCCCGAGTATTTTTCGC